ATTCACACAATTCAAACTCCAAAAGACTGGAATCACAACTAAAAAATTGGCAGATTGATATATATACACTGATACTATCTATAAAATAGAGAACTAATGAGAACCTACTGAATAGCAACAGGGAACCCTACTCAGTGATTTATGATGACCTAAATGGGAGGGAAATCCAGAGGAGATACACGTATATGGAGAGCTGATTCACTTTGTTCTACAGCAGAAACATCAATAAACAACTATACTCCAATAAAATTAATTTTAAAAAGTTTTTTCATCATTAAAAACCCAACTCTTAGCTTTAATCTTTTATATTGTTTTCCTGTTCTCTACTGTAGTTATTTCTGTTCCAAACTTTATTTTCTCCTAATTTTGGTTCGTTTTCCAGTAGTTCCTTGAAATCTAAGGGTGCTTATTGAAGATTTTTTTCCTTTTTAATGCAGGCATTTATCACTATAAACTTCCGTCCTAGTACTGCTTTTACTGCATCTCACAAACTTTGGTAATTTGTTTTCATTTTTGTCTCAAGATACTTTTAAATTCACTTTTTATTTCTTCTTTGGACCACTGATTATTCAAAGTGTGTTGTTTGATTTTCACCTATTTGTGAATTTTCCAGTTTTCCTTCTACTGTCGATTTCTAGTTTTCTTTCACTGTGGTCAGAAAAGATTCTTGGTATATCAGTCTTAAGACTTGTGACTTGATACAAATAGAAAAAAAAATAAAATAAAATCTCTAGCTTTTCCAAAAAAAAAAAAAAGACTTGTGACTTGAGAATGTGCCATAAATACTTGTGAAGAATGTACACCCTGATGTTGGGCTAAAAGTTCTACATGTGTTGCTTAGGTCTATTTGGTCTGTGGTGCTGTTATTCAAGCCCACTGGTTTTTTTTTTGGGGGGGGGGGGTCATTAGTTCTGTTAGATCTACCCATTATCTTAAGTGGATAGTATAGTCTCCACTATAATTGTATGGTTATTTCTCCCTTCAGTTTAGTATATGCAGAAAACTGCAGTTAATGGATGTAGATACTCAGCCACAAAGCATGTGGAGCTATCATCCACTGCTTAAGACTTTGACCTTAATCCCATCCTAACCCTGACGTCTGACCCTGACCTTAACCCCTAAAGGAAATCAGTCCTGAATATTCATTGGAGGGACTAATGCTGAGACTGAGGCTGCAACACTTTGGTCACCTGATGCGAAAAACTGACTCATTAGAAAAGACCCTGATGATGGGAAAGATTGAAGGCAGGAGGAAAAGGGGACAACAAAGGACAAGATGCCTGGATAGCATCACCAACTCAATGCACACGAGTTTGAGCAAGCTCCGGGAGATGGTGAAGGACAGCGAAGTCAGGCGTCCTGCAGTCCATGGGGTCGTAAAGAACCAGACATAACTGAGCAACTGAACAAACAAAATTAACCCATACCCTTCACTTGACCTCAGAACCTTAACCCTAATTGAATTCTTAATTTTAATTCTCTAAATAGTGGAGAAGGGGTAAAAAAAAATTTTTTTAATTCTCTAAATAAGAATATCTCAATAGTATTCCTCTGATGACAGAAATGTCCTTTATCTTCTACTCTGCCTTCAGTGACTGATAAACTGGATTTTTATTTTGTTAAGTTAAACTGAATTTTAAAAGCCTCGTGTCATCAGTGGCTTCCATATTTGGACAAAGCACCACCTGGTGCCCTGGAGTTGATGTGAGAGGTCAGCATTTTCTCTGGAGGCCAAGAAGAGACGTGCATGGGGGGACCCATGTACCTTTATAGGTAGAAGCCTGTGGTCAAGCGATTCCAGCCTTCTTCCATGGAAATTCTTAGTGCCCTAGATTCACCCAACAATGTGGCTTTCAATTGTACAAACTGGGCCGCTTGGGTCCCCAAAAGTCACACTGATAAAAATGAGGCCAACAGAAAAAACTTAAAATTCTAAGTTTATGTCAGACAGGGGAAGTCAGCAGGCTGACAGGAGACCCTGGAGCTGTCCAGCTGCTGAAAATATGCTGAAAGAGGCTTAAGAAAAATCACAGGTTTTAAAAGTTGCAGTACAAACTGCTCCCCCATAAGAGGCGCTCGACGGCTGACAGTATTCAGAGCGTTAAACAAGCAGGCCTGAGGCTACTAAGTTCCAGGAAGAATGCCAGTCCACATGGCCTCAGGGGGTGACCCCCGACACATAGACCCCCCCCTACAAATGGCCTGTCCTCGCTCAGACAGACATGAACATGGTGAGACATGAGGACACCACATCCACTGCTTTTGGTTATCAAGAGCTGAAACTTCTACAGTCACGAACATTACAAAGAGCTTCAATTAGAATTTTATGTTGTTGTAACTTAAACAGTGAATGAGCAAATGAATACATGATTTTTCAACTTAGGAAGATTTACTTAGGTAGAGTTTTCCTGTTTTGAATAATGGAAAATTTTTCAGAATGCAGTACAGAGTGACACAATGGATACCTATACGCCAGCAATTACTAAATTTTGCCACATTTTCATCCCATTTTTGTCTTGTGAAATACTGCCGGTCACAGCCCTTGATAAGTTTCATTCCTGTACTCTTCAGTGTGTGTGTGTGTGTGTGTGCGTGTGCACATGAGCATGTACATGCACACTCAGTCACGTCTGACTCTTTGCAATCACATGGACTATAGCCCGCCAGGCTCCTCTGTCCATGAGATTTTCCAGGCAGGAATACTGGAGTGAGTTGACATTTCCTCCTCCAAGTACTCTTCAGTATGCACCTATAAAAAAGCAAGGATGACTTCCCATAAAACCACAGCACTGTGCCACACCTCACAAACAACAGAAATTCCTGCATATGGTTCAATACTCAAGTTAGGAGGGGTTTTCCAAAGCCTATTAACATCTGACGGTAGGGGGATATTGAACATGGGGAGCATGCCATGAGATATGATATTTACCTGGCTAAGAATCTAGGAGCTGCCCATGAGAATCATCTAAATACCACCACCACCATCCCCCACGGTATAGAGAGGAAAAAAGAAAAGTACAATTTTTGCTGTAGAACCATAAGGAGCATAAACCTCAGATTACATATAAGAGCTTCCCATAGCTCCATCTGGGTGTAGCAATATGTCCCAGTGTTCCAGTGTGATCATACACTGATGCCTGGATTCGTAAGAATCAGTGAACCTGAGACACAGCATCTCTGCTCTTCTCATAAGATGCAGGCCAGTGTATGCACCACCACCCAAGGGCTGTGAGCTGCCTGAAGACCCTTTGGGGATGGACTCGACTCTGCTCTCACGCTGTGGCTCCTTGGGGTCTTTGTTGAACCCAAGACCCTCCCAGAGTCAAGGCCAAGAACCATACATTCATCTCCCTCCTCCTGCGCTTCTTCTGCTCCTCAAGGTCATTGGGGCAAGGGAGTTCTTCATCTCCAGGGAGGGTTGCTAGGCTCCATGTCTGCCTCCAAGCATTAAATTATCCTGCTCAATCCTGCAAGGGCTTCAGAGTAAGATGGGTTCTAGGTGCAGATAAAATGGAAACAGACACTTAAAAAGAAACCACCCAATTTGCTCAGATCTTTGATGAAGATTAAATTTCCTACTTACACTGTGACTGCACAGATAAGCTCTATGTGCTCAGAAAGTTTCAGGGACACCGGCCCATCGGTGGCCAGGCCCAGAAGCTCGTGTCATCTTGGACACCTTCCTGGTGCCGGGAGTCCAGCCCTCGCTGTCTGCTTCACTTCCTGACTCCCACTCGGGCCCACGTTTCCCTCCACTGCCCATTCTCCAAATTTTGCCGAATTACGCAGTCTCCCCCACACTGAGGTTTCAAACCCATTTTCCCTTTTTGAGGTGTGTCTGTGGCCACATCTGTGCTGCTTCCCTGACATTCACTGATGTGGTCGGTGAGGTAGAGGTTCCCATTCCAGGGCAGAGGACAGAGGGGCTACATACACAGGGTCCCTGCGGCGGGAGGGGAGGGGTCAGCTTCAGCGAGTCCTCCAGGGACTGAGGGAGTGGGGGGACTGGGAGCTTCAGAGGCTCAGCTGCAGGTGGGCACTGCTGAGATGGGACAATTGGGGAGCAGGGGTCCTGGTCTTTCAAGGGGAGCGACTCTGAGGCCTGGGCGGGAAGGGGCTGCATATATCCCTGAGCAGAAATGGGACAAGGAGCCTGCTCCAGGCCCAAACAGCACATGTCATCTTCCACATAACAACCCTGGCGGAATGGGGAACTGCCCCCTCACTGGACCTTGGCACAGCCCTGCACATAGTTGTCTCTGGGGTGCTGGCCACGCTCCTACCCACATCCAAATCTCTGGCAGGCTCCAGGTCCCTCAGCAGACACCTCCTTACTGTGGAGACACTTCTCCGCCCAACCAGGACTCAGGCCTCTCCTAGCCTCTCAGGCCTTGGGGGCCAAGCAAGAGCAGGTGCCTTTTGTTCAGGGCTCCCTCCCTCTGCAGGGTGACCCCCAACCTTAGCGTGGGCCTGCAGCAGACTGGGCCAGTCTGGCAGTCAGCTTTCCTGCCACTTACCTCCCACCTATGAGACCGGAGTAGCAAGCCAGGCATGGCTGACCCACCCAGCTATGCCCACACCTGGGCTCAGGTGAGCCCCCGACCAGCAAGCCCCCCACCACCCCCACTGTAGGAACAGAGTCCTCAGAATGGCCACAAGAAACAGGTATTGATAACATTTGTCAAGCAAATGCCCTATTTTACTAAAAACCCAAGTATACATTACATTTACAAAAACAGCATCCATCAGGATCTCTCAGTCCCTTCCCTAAGCCAACAAAAGATGGGGCCTCTGAGGAAGGGTTCCCCTCCAAGTGCTGGGGCTGCCCCAGGCACCCTCAGACCCCTGGTCCAGTGCACAGAAGGTGGGGTCAGTGGAGCCCCTGACAGGATCCAGCCTGGGGCCTGTGCAGGGCCCTCGCCACGATGCCAGGTGAGGGGCCTGCCGAGACCATGGACACGCTGCCCCCACTGGAGCCCCAGCTGGACGCAGCTCCTGCCTCAGGAGGAGGACACAGGGTACCCGTAGTGGTTGTGGTCAGTCTCGGCCAGGGCCAGCGTCAGAGACAGGCTGGGCTTCCGTTCCAGCTCTTCTTCCTCCGGGCAGTGCTGCGGGGGCCGAGCTTTGAAGAAGTCAGAGACGTACCGGACCTGGCAGAGAAGAGGAAGGCAGGAGCTGCCTGGGGGGAACAGGACAGGCCAGGCAGGCTGAATACAGTGGGGCAGGGGAGCCCAGGAGTTTAGGGGTGTCTTGAGGGGTCAATAAGAGAGCAGAGTTGGGAGTCTTAGGGGAAGATGGGAGCACAGGGCAAGGGTCTGGGAGAGGCGGCCCAGAGAGGGCAGGGGTCCCAGAGTGGGGTCTCTTGTCAGGGCAGGGGGTCGGGGCCTGGGAGCTCACAGTGAGGCTGGCCACCAGCGCCCCCTGCAGGAGGCCAACGAGAACGTCACTCCAGTGGTGTTTGTGGTCAGACACGCGGGTGTAGCCCACGTACAGGGCGAAGGCTACCAGGAAGAACTGAACGGTGGGCCGCAGCAGCCGTGCCCACTTCCAGCAGAGCCGGGCCTGCACATAGAGCTGGGGTCCAAGAGCAGAGTCAGTCAGGCACCCGCCAGGTCCACCCTGCTCGACGCATGGACGGCGACCCTGGGGCCACAAGCCTAGAATCCCCAGACACGGGGCCCCCAGTTTTTATCAACACAGCAGAACCTCCACCTCCGCCCTGGCTCTCCCAAGGCCCAGGGAAGGTCTGGCCACGGCCACAACACGCCAGCCACAGACAGCAGACTCACCGCCAAGAATACCATGCAGTACATGCCAAAGGAGGAGTGTCCGGAGTAGAAGGACAACCTGAGAGAGAGAGGGTGGTGGGGGTCATGGGGCGGTGTGGGGAGGGCAGCCAGAGGGTTTACTCTGTCCTCAGCCTCCAGACACCCGGCCCCCGCCTCGCCCCCCAGGGTCCAGGAGGACTTTATGTAAAAACGCAGCCAGCGCTGGATGCCCTCAGTCCTTCCCTTTCCAATTTTCTGACCATGTGGTCAAGTCTCATGGGCTTTAAGGCATCACCATGAAGCTGCTTCAGGCCCTGAATGCAGAACCCAGGGCAGACAACTGGGTCCAGACAGCAGCTCCACTTTCACTGTGTTTCTTCTCAAGATTATTTTCCACCTGTGCTCACTGATATAAGGTTTGCATTTTCTTTTTATAGAATGTCAAGTTTTAACAAAGGACATCAAAGGAATAAGTCAAGGCTGTATATTGTCTCCTTGCTTATTTAACTTATATGCAGAGTACAGCATGCAAAATGACAGGCTGGAAGAAGCTCAAGTTGGAATCAAGACTGCCAGGAGAAGTATCAATAACCTCAGATAAGCAGATGACACCACCCTTACGGCAGAAAGTAAAGAGGAACTAAAGAGCCTCTTGATGAAGGTGAAAGAGGAGGGTGAAAAAGCTGGCTTAAAACTCAACATTCAAAAAACAAAGATCATGGCATCTAGTCCCATCACTTCATGACAAATAGATGGGGGGTGGAATGGAAACAGTGACAGACTTTATTTTCTTGGGCTCTAAAATCACTGAGGACGGTGACTGCAGCCATAAAATTAAAAGACACTTGCTCCTTGGAAGAAAAGCTATGACAAACCTACACAACATATTAAAAAGCAGAGACATTACTATGCCAACAAATGTCTGCATAGTAAAAGCTATGGTTTTTCCAGTAGTCAAGTATAGATGTGAGCTGGACCATAAAGAAGGCTGAGCACCGAAAAATTGATGCTTTTGAACTGTGGTGCTAGAGAAGACTCTTGAGAGTCCCGTGGACTGCAAGGAGATCAAACCAGTCAATCCTAAAGGAAATCAACCCTGAATATTCACTGGAAGGACTGATGCTGAAGCTGAAGCTGCAATTCTTTGGCCACCTGATGCAAAGAGCCAACTCACTAGAAAAGATCCTGATTCTGGGAAAGACTGAAGACAGGAAGAGAAGGGGATGACAGAAAATGAGATGGTTGGATGGCATCACTGACTCAATGGACAGGAGTTTGAGCAAGCTCCAGGAGATGGTGAAGGACAGGGAAGCCTGGTATGGTGCAGTCCATGGGGTCATGACGAGTCAGACACAACTAAGCAACTGAACAGCAACAAAGGACATCAATGGACAAGAAAGAAAATGGCAGATTGAGAGCCCCCACCCCATGAAAGCAACTGGAAAACTGACAACAGCCAGAACCAGACTGGTGGTGGCATGTGAACCAGAGAAAGGAGGAGACCTACCTCCAACGCCTGAGACTGTACGGTCCTGACCGGTGCCTCCCTGGAGCACTGGCCATAAACACTGACAGCAAATGGAATAGTCACTACTGCCTAGGGCAGTAAACACAGCAGGATAAGAAGGCTAGCCAAGAAGCCGAGAGGAAAGGCCAGGGTGAGCTGCTTCGCAGAATGAGGCTGGGAATCTGGGGGCCAGACTGGGCCCATCAGGAAGACCTGCCAAGGTGCTCCTGTCTCCGCTCTGGCCAACTCGCAGACATGTCAATTGACACGGTCCACATGGCACATGTACCCAACATAGACACATACCCACACAGCACACACACCCCAACACACACACACCCACAGAGCACATGTACCCACACAGCACACACACCCCAACACACACACCCCCACAGGGCACACGTACCCCAACACAGCACACACACCCCAACACACACACACACCCACAGGGCACACATACCCCAACACAGCACACACACCCCAACACACACACACACCCACAGGGCACACGTACCCCAACACAGCACACATACCCCAACACAGCACACACACCCCAACACAGCACACACACCCCAACACACACACACCCCACAGGGCATACATACCCCAACACAGCAACGCACCCCAACACACACATACCCCACAGAGCACACGTACCCCAACACAGCAACGCACCCCAACACACACCCCACATGGCATACATACCCCAACACAGCAACGCACCCCAACACACACATACCCCACACAGCACACCTACACCGACACACACATACCCCAGTACACAGACTCCAACATGGCTCACATACCCCAGCATGGCAGATGTACCTCACCATGGCACATGTACCCCAACACACACATACCTCAACGTTCATGTACCCTACACGGCATACAAAGCTCATCTGTAAAATGAAAGCTTTTCTTCCGTGGTTCCAGGTATTTAAGGACATATCTGTCCACTCACTAGCTTATCACTCAGCTAACAGCACAACTTCATGGCCACTCATGACAAAAAACAAAGACTTTACAAAATTAGTTCAGAACACTTACCTAGCAAACAACCAAGGACAACAAACAGCAAAAACAACAGAAGAATCTGATTTCCAGATGTATGCTACATTATATGTATGTATGCTACATCACATGTATGTATGCTACATCACACGTATGTGTACTACATCACATGTATGTATGCTACATTACAACATTAAAAACGCTCTGGGAAAGGGGACACATACATACCTGTAGCCAATTCATGTTGATGTATGGCAAAAACCATGAGAATATTGTAATTATCCTCTAATTAAAATTAATTCATTAATTTAAAGAAAACTGCCCAGGGACTTCCCTGGTGATCCAGTGGCTAAGCCTCCCCACTCCCAATGCAGGGGGCCCAGTTCCATCCTTGGTCAGGGATCTAGATCCCACATGCTACAACTAAGATAGACCTGGTGCAGCAAAATAAGTAAATAAATAAACAGTTTAAATATATTTATGTAAAACAAACCAAAAAATGCCAAGTTTTCAACAACAATAAATATTTATAATAGATGCACAAAAAATGTGGGAAATGCCCAGGGGAAAAAAGTCTATTACTAGAAGCAGTCGCTAAGAAACTTAGATATCAGACTTACTAGATAAAGGCTTTTTTTTTTTAGTTTGATAGATAAAGACTTTTAATCTGCCATTTAAAATATGTTCAGAGAGCTAAATGAGAATGATGTCTGACCTAATAAGAGAGTACCAAAAAGAAACAAAAGTTGTAAAAAGGAATCAAATAGAAATTCTGGAGTTCAAAACTATAGTACGTGGAAGATGAAATCACCAAAGGGGCTCAAAAGCAGATCTGTGCAGGCAGAAGAGCGTGTGAACATGTAGACGGGTCAATCAAGACTTTTGGTCTAAGTAACAAAAAAATGAAAAGAATGGAGAAAGTTCAATGAACTCGTCTTGTGGAACACCATCCAATGTACCAACATATGTACAACAGGAGTCCCAAAAGGAGAACAGAGAAAGGGGCAGAAAGAATATTTGAAGAGGAAATGCCTACAAACTTCCCACATTTGATGACAAATATCCATCCACACACCCCAAAGGCTCAATGAACTTCAAAGAGGATAAACTCTAAGACAGCACAGCACAATCAAGCTACCAAAAGATAGTGAAGATTTCGAGAGCTGCAAGAGAAGGCACTCGTCATGTATAAGAAATCCTCAATAAAATGAACAGCTAATTTCCCATCAGAAGCCATGGAGACCAGAAGCATTCCAAGCACTGAAAGAGAAAACCCTGTGAATCATGAATTCTACATGTGGCAAAATGATCCTGTAAAAATGAAAAGAAGTTTAGACATTTCCAAACAAACAAGAACCAATAAAATCCATAGCTGATACACCTACAAGCTCTATGAGAAATGCTAAAGGGAGTCTTCCATGGAGGAATGAAGGATACTAGTCAGTAACTAAAATCTACAAAAAAGACACAAAAGACACCAGTAAAAGTAATTACAAAACATAAACAGCAGTGTGAATATATTCTGGTGTATGATCCTATTTTTCCCTACATGATTTAGAAAAGAAAAAATCAGCTAAAGAAAAAAAAAACTAGACTAACTGTATCATTCCACAGTAGATATCACATCATTATGCTGTACATCTGAAAGTAATACAACGTGGCAACTATGGGTTTCCCAGGTGGCACTAGTGGTAAAAGAACCCCACCTGCCAATGCAGGAGACATAAGAGACGCACATTCAATCCCTGAGTTGGGTAGATCCCCTGGAGGACAGGGTTTCCCTGGTGGCTCAGTGGGTAAAAGAATCTGCCTGCAATGAAGGAGACTCCTTCCCTTGGTTGGGAAGATCCCCTGGAGAAGGACATGGGAATCCACTCCAGTATTCTTGCCTGGGAAATCCCATGAACAGAGGAGCCTGGTGGGCTCTCAGCCCATTGGGTCGCAAAGAGTCAGACAAAACTGAGGTGACTTAGCATGGCAAATATAGCTTAATTTTTTCAAAACCATGTAAAACAGTTATTATAAATCTATGCTGATGAGTACATGATGTATAAAGATAAAATCTGTGACAATAACCTCATAAGGGGGTGGAGATACATGGCTGCAAACGTTTTGCACAGTAAGTACCTATGAACAGAAAAAGCAGTAATGGGGGAAAAAGCAGTAATGGAGAAATTTTTTTAAAAGATACAATATATAGAAAACAAATAACAAGACAAAGGACATTCACTGTGAGAAAAGGATCAATCCATCCAGAGATATAACAACAAAGATACAAGCACCGAAACTTGGAAACACTGCAGAATCCAGACCTGAAAGGACAGAGGGTGTGATTCCACTGATAGGAAATGTTCAAAACAAGCCGATCCACAGACAGAGAATGGGTTCCTGGTTGTCAGGGGCTGGGGTGGGGGTGACAGCTCATGGGTGTGGGCTTTGTGTGTGTGTGATGAGAATATTCTAGAATATTAGAGTGGGGACAGATGCACAGGACTGGGAATGCACTAGAAATCAACAAATTGTGCACGTTAAGATGGTTAAATTGGTGGATTTTATGTGTTGGGAATTTTATTAAATTTTTAAAGGAAAATAGGACATCAATCAAATGAAAAGTTCACCAGTAGAGATGGTGAGAGGACAGAGCAGAATGTGAGGGTGGGGGCCTGACATTTCGGGGAGGTGGGTCACCCCTCCTGACACCTCCTGCTCTGCCCCAGGGCCAGATACCCAGCCCCACCTAAGCTCCCTGCTGGCATGATGCAGGCGCAGGCACCTCCAGGCCTTGCTCCTGCCCGTTCTCCACACCTTCTCAACCTGGCAGCTCACCCCGCAATACCCAGCTCCTGAGGACCCTTCTGCAACCCCCACCCTCCTCCCCGGGCGGGGCATCTGTGGTCCAAGCACTGCCCACCTGGACTCCGTGACGTTAGCAGGGCTCCCCCTGCACACCTCCAGCTGCACGTACGCCGAGCAGTTGACGCGGCTCCAGTCAGGGTCACACACAGCCAGGAAGTTGGGCCGCAGGCGGCCGGTCATGTACTTGGCCAGGTCTGTCAGGGACTGGCTCACTGCCGCCCCAAACAGGAACGTCCCCACCACCTTATAGAGGGCGGCCAGGTAGTTGTTGAAATCAGAGCGGGAGTAGAGGCGGTCCGTGTACACCAAGTAGGCTTCCCCAGCTGACACCTGCAGGCAGCAGCCGGGGGCTTCAGCATCCCCAGCCTCTCTGAGATCACCAGGGAGCTGGGGACCCCAAGAGGGCTCTCTTCCACACAAACACCCCCCCGGGCAGGACTGGACCTGCCAACGCCCCAGCCACCACCCCACACGCCCTCCTGCCTTACAAGAATGACAGTGGCTGTGATGATGACCCCGGCCATGAGCCCATGGGTGATGGTGTCTGGACGGTAGGGGTATCGGATGGAGTCATCTCCACAGTAGAAACCTCGCTTGTATGGAGTGTTGACGAACGTCAGGATGGCACAGGGCAGAGCGGCTGGGGGGGGTGGGGGGGAGAGGAGGCCGGTAGGCACGAGGTGCTCCCCATAGCTGCTCCCCAGCTGAGCCCCACACTCAGCTGTGCCTTCGTCTGGCACTTGGACCCGGCCTCGGCCTCCCTCTGGGTCTCCTCACCTCCCTGCCCACCCAACAGTCAGAAGCTTTCCTCATGGTAAATGAGAGGAAAGGTCGCCACCCTGCTTAAAACCCCTTGTACTTGGAAAAAAAAAAAAAAACCCTTCTGATTCCCCTTCATCGTCAGATCAACACTCAGGTCCTGCCCAGGCCAAGTGTCCACCCCCTGCACACCGCCCACCCTCTCCTACCCCTTGCTTCCCTCCAGCCTCCTCCACTCTGCCCAAATCCAGCAGGCAGCCACCCAGGCCTCTGCTCACAGCCCCACTGGCTGCCCAGAACAGTTCTGACTGACTCCTGTCTTCCCCACTGACCGCCCCACTCCTGGGGCCCCTCTCACAGCCTTTCTCCAGGGTCTTTACCTTGTGTAATCTGCAATCACCCTGTGATACCTGAATAACTCCCCAGACACCGCTCCCCTACAGTGAGCACATGGGGGGCCTGTCATCATCAAGGACTAGTCTCTGGAGCCTTCTCAGGTGGGGCCTTGCAGAGGCAAGTGTCTTCCCAGGTGGTGCTAGTGGTAAAGAACTCACCTGCCAATGCAGGAGATGTAAGAGACTTGGGTTCGATCCCTGGGTTGGGAAGATCCCCTGGAGGAGGGCATGACAACCCACTCCAGTATTCTTGCCTGAAGAATCCCATGGACAGAGGAATCTGGCAGGCTACCGTCCATAGGGTCGCAAAGAATCGGACACTACTTAAGTGATTTAGCACACATACACACACAAGGAGGACGCCCTGCTTGTAGTTCTAGGGTTGGCCAGAGACCAGGAACACCTGGTGAGACATCTGCATCCACACGCTGTCCCTGAGCCAGCCACACAGGGACCAGACAGGCCCGGCCCAGGCCAGGGATCTCAGTCCAAAGGTACATTCAGGAGTCACTAGTCATGACCAGACCCTGCCTGGCACAGCCGCAGCCCGAGTCCAGAGGCCCCAGGAGCCAAGGGCAGCTGGAGCACAGGGCTCCCCGCCTCCCCAGGGTGGGGCACAGAGACAAACCCAAGCAGGGTGCCCTCTGGCCCTGGCAGGGCAGGTGACATGTGAAAAAGGGTGTGACCAGGGCAGGGGGAGGGCAGGGCCACACCCCCTTCCAAAGGTCAGGTTCTGGGCCTTGGGGACCACCCATGATGGTGGGTGATGCTAGGAAAGGCTTGGTGAAGAACACAGAGGTCTGGCTCATGGAGCTGAGGGGCCGGGAATAAAAGTAACAGGCATGGCAGGACTGGGAGGTGGCTGTGGATGTCAGTGGCGTGTTGGGCAGGACACATGGGGAAGGTGGCTTAGAAATTCAGAGGACATCTGGAAAAGAGCACCCCAGAGGGACGGCCAGCACAAAGGCCGGAGAGTCTGGAGAGCCGAGTGCTGGGGGGAGCTAGGTGGGGTGAGCAGAGGGAGCAGGTTGGAGACAGACAGGCTGAGACCCTGAAGGGCTGAGGCGGGGGGCTAGAAGAGGCAGAGAAACCAAGTCGAGCCCCACCCCCAGAACCTGAGCAGAGCAGGGGCTCCCATGGGGGTTCCCGTGGCAGGGGGGCAGTGAATCAACCTCCAGCTCCTGTCCCCCAGGCCCAGCCCTTTCCCCTGGAGATTAGGACACACACAGTCAGAACTGGGGTCAGGCTCTCCTTGGATTCAGGAGTCCGTTGCCTCCCTCTGCCTGAGCTGCTCCGGCTCAGGTGTCCCCACGGCAGACACGCCAGAGCCTTCCTGACCTGGTGTCGACCCCCGTGTTTCCCTCAGGGCCCTTGTCACCTTCTACAACTGAATTACTGCTGTACTGAAGCTTCTAGACTGACAGCTGGGTCGGCCTGGGCCCCAGTCCCCTGGCACACGGGCAACCCCACCCAACCTAATCTCTGCTCAGTCACCCCCGGCTGTGTGACCTACAGAGGGAAGCCGAACATCCCTGGGTGGAAACTGGGGGACACAGCAGCACCCCCCACAGGCTGACTGGAGGAAAAGGTTTAATTATCACAGGCGTCATAGTGTCTGGTACACTGTAAGTGCCACAAAAACGATTAAAGAAGTGATCAGGAAAGGATGCCCAAGGTGGGCGGAAGCCCTCTCCCAGGACTTCCAACTGCCAACCGGCTCTTCCCCAAAGGGGTCTCTTCTGGGACGTGGGGGGAGGCACTGCCTCGGCCTGCAGCCAGGGCAGACCCCTCCGGTCCCAGCGGAGGCGCAGGAACCAGACTGGGGGGAGGGCAGTTGAGGCTGGAGAGGCCCCTCCCTGCGCCGGGGGTAGAATTCCGGGGCCATTGTCCACACAAGGGAGCAAACACTCAGCCTTTGTTTCCGAGACCTGGGGGGGGGGGGGGTGGGGGGGAGGGGGCTGGGGCTGCCCCTTCCCCCAACCTGGCCCGCAAACCCGCCCGACAGGTTTGGTCCGCGCCACCCCGAGGCCCCCAGTTCGACAACAGCCGGGGGCCCGGTTTCTCTCCCGGGCCCGAGACAGGAGGACGAGTGTTCGAATCCCACCAACGCCCGGGTGCCCCCGGCCAGGGCTCCGCCCTCCCAAAACCAGCCAACCCGAGCATGGCTCGCGGTGGAGGGCCTACAGGGGCGCCCCCCGCCCTGCCAGCCTCACCCGGCCGCCGCCCGCGTGAATCACCGGGCCCGGCCTGGCCAGGCAAGGCGGGCGGTGGAGGAGGTAGGGGTGGCGAGCGGCCCCGGAGGCGACTTCCTGCTGCCGCGAAGGGGCGGGGAGCACCGACCCCTCCGACTGGAGGCCCGCGGGGGAAACCAAGGCCCCGGAGGGCGCGCGCAGACGTCGGGGCCGGCGGAGGGGGCGAGGAGGTGACCCGAGGCTCCGCCCACCTCCGGAGGCCTCCGAGGGGTGGGGGCCACGGCCCCCACCAGTCCTACAAAAGTTCGGGGGGATCGGGGAAGGGGCCGCCCGGGAAGGGGTCCCCCCACGCCCCCAGGCCCCTGAGGCTCTTACCGACCAGCACGCACAGCACGTCGAGCAGTACGAAGACCCACCTCCGCTCCATGCCGCCCCCGCCCGGGCCGCGCCCGCGACCCCCGACGCCCGTCCCACCGCGTCCCGTCGCGTCCCAGCTGGGCCGCAGGGTCACATGGCGTCGGAGCCCGGCCCAGCCCGGGGGTGGAGGGGGTGGAAATGAGGGGGGCAGGGCCCAGGAGGGGCGGGGCCGCCCAGGGAGGGGGTGGACTCTGCCCCCGCCCCGCCCGCGGCCCGCGGCGGGGGAGGGGCGTGGGTAACCGGGTCGGTACCGGCCCGCGACTGGAGGAAGGGTTTCGAGTCCAGGAGCTGGCAGGGTCGTCGGCGCCCAGCACTCCCCCAGCCCCCCACGGGAGGCTGAGGCCGGGGGACCGCCGGTACGGGGTCTCCCCGCAGCGTCCGCGCCCGGCCGCACGCCCCGGGCACCCGCGGATTGGATCGGCTGAGTCTGGGGTCGGGAGAAAGAACGAACAAACGAAGGAATGTGTGAGGGGCGGCCGGCAGGACGGGGCGTGGAGGACGGAGCTCGGGTACCCCAGGACCGTCCCTGCGGGCCCCTCGGTGCGCCTCGGTTTCCTCTTTCGGGCACTCGAGCGCCTGTGTGCGCGTCTGAATACTTCTGAACCAGGAAGTGTCTACAAATCGATGGGGCGTCGTGGCTTAACTGCAAGGTTTCTTTCTTTCCTCTTGGTGCTTAAAATCCTGGTGGCCCTTATACATCCCCAGCATTTGAAAGTCATTTCCTCAACGCCCACCCTGTTTGTGCCAGGCCCTGCTCCCATGAGGCACACTTCCCACCCCCGTTTACAGGGAGCAAATCATGCCCGGAGGACTTGCTCACACACTGCAAACGGTAAACTTAGGGCCTGTGCCCTACGTCTCCTCCAGGTCCCAAGGACTGAGCTGGGACGTGCCGGGGTTCGACACACCCGCACTGGGTTCTTTGGGCCACAACCATAGAGAGGCTTTGGGGAGTGTCGCCGCCTCCGGGAGAGCCCTGGACACTTCTGCCACTCTCCCAAAGTCACATGGTGAGAAGAGGCAGGGCTGGGGTTTGAACCCGAGCAGCCTGGCCCTAGCCCCACCCCCGCCAACAATCTGAAAACCGGAGATGTTCCCGGACTCTTTTTCAGAGATGAAGGGAGCCAGGACCAGAGAGGAGCATCCTCCAAGGTCAAGCAGCTGAGAGGTGGACTCAGTGCCCCCTTCCTGAGGGAGCAGGGGTCGGCAGAGAGGCAAGGTGTGGGGTGGGGGAGTGGCAATGCCCAGTTCATCTGTGGCTCCTCGACCCCTGGTCAGACGGTGGGATTGACATGGTGCCTCTGGACCGAGTCCCCCGAACCCGGGAACGACTTTCCTTAAGCAGTCCAGTAGACTCCAGTACCACCACCACCCCGCCCCTACACACACTCAGAATAACTCGGCCCACCCCCAGGACTTGAGCAGGTTCTGCATGGAAACCAGACCTGGATTTTCCGTCTGCGGTGTGGCAGACAGTGGGAGGCACGTCCCAGCAACCCCCGCTTTCAACCGCACACCCAGGAGCTGGGGAAGGCACATCCTCAAAACGCAGCTCCCTCCCTCACCCCCACTACCTCCCAGGCTTCCCGAAGAATCAGATTACTCGCCCGCAGGGCTTCCCTCGGTCTGGGCGGGGGAGGGTTGTGTCGCCAGAACCTAGTTCAGGTTGGGGCGGGGCTCTCGAAGTCCTGGACTCCGGTTGACGCGCTCCTGCCGGTAAAGCTCTGCCTCTGCCCTTTGGCTCCTCCGACTACACTCACACAGGGAGGGGCGGCCCCGTCCATCCGTCATTCATTCATTCATTGGTCAGTTCACTCATTCAAGCGTGGAATTACCTGACAAAATACCTGTGTAGGTGCCTGAGTCACACGTAACACGGACGTTATCCGGCATCTTTATTGGCACTTTCCCCATCAGCCTGGCTACCCCGCTCCCTGTGGTCTTAACACTTTCAGTCAAGGGTAGGGAGGTGCAGCACGGTACTGGCATGGATGAAATAAGCACCTACTGTGTGCTGGAAGGGGCAACCTGAGGGTGGGGCTATGGGATTGGGCCCCAGAGTGGGAAGGAGCAGGAGGCCAGGTGGCTGGACAGCGGGCCGCCCTCCCCTCCCTGCTGACGTGGGCAGGGATGGGATCACAACATGGTGAAAGCAGCACGGATTCGGGTCAGGGCTGGAATTAGGGCTAGCTGGGAAATCCACCTCGGGCCAACGAGGCCCACCCTGAGGACAGAGCCTGAGCTGGGAGACACTGACGTAGCTGCGCCCCTAGCTGGGTCCCAGCCAGCATTTCCCAGAGACTGCACCTCCCCTCTTGCCTGGCCATCGGGGCTGCTTTGCTGCACCTGAGGGACTAGGGGTTGGCTCCAGTGTCATGAAGATGCAGGAAGAAGTGCCTGGGGGTGAGCGGAGAGGCTAGCAAGCAATAGGCGCCCCTCACCCAGTGCACCTCCAGCCCTGCCCCTCTCTGCACCTCCCTTGGGGCTTAGACATAAGAAACCCGGATTCAATCCCTGGGTCAGAAAGATCCCCTGGAGAAGGAAACGGCAACCCACTCCAGTATTCTTGCCCGGAAAACCCCATGGAGAGTGAAGCCTGGCAGGATATAGTCCGTAGGGTCGCAAAGAGGCGGACACGACTAAAGCAACTTAGCATTGCAGCACTGTTGCTCCCAGGACTCAGCACGACCGTCCAGTCAGGAACAGGGTGAACTCCAGTTCAGCTCCAAGTCCACATGCAGGAGCTCAGGTCCTAGGACGTCGCCCCTCATGCAGGCCCCCTCCCTCCCCTGCTGTACCCTCAGCCTGCGTCTGCTGATTCCCAGCCTGGAGCTTTAGGAGGCAGGATGGACCAACCAGACACTCCGCTGCTGCTTCAGAACCCAGGTGAGCCCATGAGCAACGACTGGCCCAGCAGCCAGAGCGAGAGCTCCACAGGATCACAGGCATACAACATAGGCCCAGAGACCTGTCTCCACCTGCTCCTCAGGAAGTGAGGGAAGGCGGGGCAGGTCATGCCTCCAAGCACAAGAGCACGCTCCCAGGGCACCCTCCCATGGCGCCCCTCCGTCCCTGCCTGAAAAGCCAGGACCTCCACCCCCACCCCCCACCAAGCAGCACACAGTGCAGACCTGGAAGCACTGCAAAGTCACCAACCCTGGTCCCTCCAGGCAGGTGGTGACTGGTGAGAAAAAGTGGCACAGACAGCAAGGGAGGCTGAGAACCTCCGTTCCAAGACCCCACCACCATCCTGGGTCTCACCCCCTGGGGACCGTCCATGGGAGAAGACCTGAGTTCACTTCCCAGGAGCTCACACAGGCCTGGATCCAAGCCCACCACCACAGGAGGGACTGGGGGCAGTGTGCATAGGCAGTACCCCCCCCAGACATCTCCATACTCCAGCCACCACCACCCACCCTCCCAACCTTACTGTGGTGGGGGGGAGGGTAAGCCCACCCGCTGGACCCCCAAGATGGAGGGGAGACACAGGTTCCAGAACCTCCCGGCTGGTGGCACAGGAGTGGACTCTGCCAGATGCTGAGGCAAAGTGATAGCCTAGCACAACCTCAGGATAACACCGGGGCATCTGCGCTACCAGGAACTTGGGCCTCCTGTCCTCACAGCAGCCCAGGATGAGGGTTGCTGGGTCTAACAAGTGCGTGCACAGGACTCAGGTGAATCTGAATCCCAAGTGAACAAGTCACTTTTAATATAAGTATGTCCCACTGTATGGGACATACTTACCCTTAAAGATTTGTTTACCTGATTTAAATCTAAGTGGGAGTCCTGTATGTCATCTCAGAACCACAAACCAGGAAAATATGAGCTGTGGGGACAGCCCAGTCCCATTCCAGAGCCCAGGGTCCTGGGCCAAGGAGGACAAGGCCCTAGCCCAGAACTGTCTGCATGCAGCCACCTCCTCCATCCCGCCCCCACTCTGGGAGTTGCTTGTGGGTCCAGCCTCTAGTGTGGCCTAGGTGATGGCCGGCTCCTTCAACAGAGTGGCTGGTACCAGGATCACCTCCTGGCATGTCCTATGGGAAAGGCTCCCCCAGACTGAGCACCTACCTCCCCTTGTGTGGTTAGAAAGTAGGTCACAAAAGAGCTCCACTCCGGCTATGAGAAAACACTGGATGAACTAGAGAACAGTAGTAGTAAAGGTACAGTGGCACTTCTGTCTGTGAGAAGTCCATCCCAGAGGTCAGTGCAGGCATCTCCTAGTACCAGGACAGAGCAGGAAACCTGGGTGCAGATGGTGATTCTGCCTGCAGGTCTGGGATGGACACCAGTGGACCTGCAGACAGGCAGGCAGGGCCAGCTCACCATCAAGATGCCTAAACCAGGGGCTTCCCTGGTGGCTCAGTGGTAAAGAATCTGCCTGCCAAAGCAGGGGACACTACTGAAGCCCACGTGCTAGAGAAAGCCCGTGCAGCAACGAAGACACAGCACAGCCAAAAAGTAACTAACCAATAAGAAATACACAATGTGTGTGTCAAAGATGGGCCAGGCGGTGGCCAGGAGCAGTGGAAGGAGGGCAGGGGGCAAGCAGCAGAGAGAAGACAGGAAAACGCACAGTCTGAGGACAACCTGGGCTCTGCCAGGCAAGTGGGGACCCAGGAGTAGAGCCCAGAAGGGGCAGCAGAAATGCCTGACAAGCCAGACGGGAAGCCCCATCCCCACCCCCCACCTCCCCACCAGTGATGAAATGCACTGACCCTCAGGTCCCAGGAGCTCCACAGAGGATAGATACCAGGCACATCACATCCAAACATAAAGAGAAAATCACAGTCGGAAAGAAAAAGATGTCGTGTTTGGGGAACACAAGTGAGAATGACAAACAAGAGAAGCCAGGAATAAAGGGGACACCAAGGAGGCCAAGAAGAAAACGCCAACCTGAAAAGTTACCGCTGCTCCGCCGCAAAGTCGTTTCCGACTCTTATAACACGTTAAAAAAAATAAGTGCTTGAGAAACAAAGGTTGAGGCTGAGGACTCTCAGCCATCAAGAGCCAAGAAGAACCGGTGCAGGTTCCCTGCCCAGCCCATCCATCTGCAGTCTCCCAGACCGTCTGCCGCCCAGCACCCCCACATCTCACCCGCTCCCACAGGCAGGTCCATCCCCATCAGGCGCCAGCTCAGAATCGCCTCCACTTACCTGACGACCTCCCTTGCCCCATCATCGAGACACAGAGCTTGCTCCCCACAACCCCCAGGCCCCCAGGTCCCTGGAGCCAGACCAGTATGGGGTCCACCGAGTGACCGGCACCTTCTGCCACCCACCCGCCCGATCCACCACAAGGCACCTATGGGGCTTCAAACCAAGTTTAATAAATAAAACAGCAAGGGGGTCAAGGCAGTGTCACTTCACAGTGTGGTCCTTGGTGGGGCAAGGGAATGTCGAGTCCAGCCCTGTGGATGGCTCGAGCCAAAGCCCCCTGGTGACACGGGGTGGGAGCGCTGCCCTGCCCCCAGAGGACCCCACTCCCATTTGTAAACAGAAACATAAATAAAACAAGGCGGCTGGGGAGGAGAAAGCCCAGGACCCCAGCGGTCCCGCTAGGACCTCAACAAAAACACAACCTCCTCGGTCAGGGAAATGGGCTGGAGCCGGGCCCCCGGTGCAGCTCAGACAGGGCCTCGGTGCCAAAAGGTGTGAGTCCCATGTCCTCAGAACCACACCCAAGGCAGCCAAGGACCCAGGGGGTGGGGGTGGGGTGCGTAAAGTGCAGCTTTTCCTGAAGTGGAGAGCGGGCGGACAGCAGGGCAGGGCCAGCATCGAGGTATATGGCTCTGCGCCCCACGGGGTTTGGCACCGAGTAGCAGCTGCCCCGAGCCTGGGCCGGGGCGGCCCGTGGTCCAGCTGGGAGCAAGAGACGAGTGAGCAGAGCGCTGAGGGTGCCCGGCGGAGGCTGCTGGTGGGGCGGCGTCCGGCCCGTCTCCCCTGTCCCTGGCAGGGCCTCTGCTGCTGGACAGGCTGGCCCTCCATGCCCGGCCTCCTGATAGATCCCAGGCTGGGCGTGGAGCCTGGGTCACGTGGTGTGTGGCATGGGAGGGCCCCGCTCACCCTGGTCCTCGAAGAGTTCTGAGCAGAAGAGACGCCACCCAAGGCCCGCAAAAAAGGGAGGGGTCGGGAAGACTGACAGGCAGGCCTCACAGTGGCCCCAAGTCCAGTCCAGCTACATGCCCGCCTGTGGCCAGGGATCAACAGGTCATCACGTTACAGCTGCAGGGGAGAGCGGGAGAGACGGGAGACGTCAGTGCAGCCCCCAAGCACCGGGCCCACCCTACCTCCCAGAAACCCACCCCCACTGCCGACAGCCCCTCCCAAGGCAGCAAGGCCTGGCACCCGGGGAGGGCTGGCGGCTCGCAGGGCCAGGAGCAGCCTGGCACTGGCCCCGTGTGTACCTTTTTGGATTTTGAACCGTATGAATGTATTACCTAGTCAGAAAAATAAATAAGCCAAATTTAAAGTAGAGAATAAAGCTAAAGAAACCAACAGCCTGCTCGCGGGCCACGCCTCCCTCGGGCCCTGGGGCAGCCCCTCCCGCCAGCCTCAGCGTGGCCTGAGATGGGGGCACAGCAGATGGGGGGTCTGGGGGTCACACTCACTGTGACAGGGGCTCCGAGTGCAGCCCGGGGGCCGGGCATGCCGGGTGGGAGGCCAGGAAGGGGTTCACGTCCCCGATGCCGATGAGTCCAAACTCGGCCACTGACAAGGCCACTTGCGGAGGGCCCACGGCCTCCTCAGGCTCTCCATCAGTGTCCTCATGGCTGGAGACGAGCGGCAGCTCCTCAGGCAGGGTCAAGTCCACGGCCAGCCTTGGGCTGGCACCGGGCTCTGGAGTGGCCGTGGCAGGCGGGAAGAAGGCCGGCTCAGCCAGGGCTGGGGGCCGCCGAGGCAAGGGCAGGGCTGAGGGCTCATCCAGTGGCGGGAACGAACGAGGCCCTGGCTCCGAGGATGGGGGTACATCAGTGGCCTCCCCAGGCTCGCCAAGACTCCCGGACATGCTGCTGCCCATGCTCAGGGGCTCTGCGGGGGGAGAACGCAGCTGTGGCCAGGCCCCCACGGTGCCCACACCCAGCCCCGTCAGGTCAAGGGCAACGCAGCTGCAGCCAGCAGGCCCAGAGGTCCTGATCACCTCAGGCTGTAACCTGTGTGGGCTCCAGCCTGCTGGGCCCAGCAAAGCCAAGGACCCTTCTCACAGACTGCTCACACGAACATGTAAGACACACGAGGACACAAGGGGCCTGACTTGTGGGAAGGACATGACTCTGTTCCTCAGGGTGGGCCAGGACACAGCAGGTTCACAGAGAAAGTGAGGGGAACGCAGACACCTCACCGGGCACACCAGGGACCCGACTGCACTCTGGAGCCAGGACAACGGAAGCCCTGCAGGCCGAGACCAGGGTCCTTGTCCCCTGTGGTCCCTTCACAACTGCACTAACCACCTGGGCCTCGTCCTGCTCCCACACAGCCCTGGGCCTGGATGCCAGAGGGGCACAACACCCCCTGGGCTCCCGCCCAGGGCCACAGACCACACGAGGCTCCCCCCACAGGGAAAGCCAGACCCCAAGGGCGCCTCATGTGAGAGATGCCCTATGAGACCACATGAGTGGAAGGACAGGGGCCCCAAACCCCTGCTCTTCTTCAGTGTCCAGTGGCCCAGGTTGGAGACCAGGGAAGAGGGGCCCCGACGACAGGGCCTGCCCCCTACTCACCCGTGTGCATCCGGGCCAAGCGGTCATGCTCAGGACCCGGGCCGTGGGCAGCAGCAGGCAGGGGCAGGGGTGGCGAGGAGCGGGGGCGGCCAGGGCCGTCAGGGTCACTGCCCTCCAGGTCCTGGTCGGCATCCCTGCGGGGAGAGGGGGTGAGGGCTGGGGCTGCCTCAGGCCCAGTACCCTCCCAGCACCCGTGGGTGCCTGGCACGCACGTGTTTCCTGACGGGCCATACTTCCGGCGGCCTAGCCGTGTCTGCTGAGAGAAGTAGTCGTAGCGCTCGGACTTCTTCCACAGGTAATAGTACTCCACGCACTCGCCCACTGACCGCGTGCGCACCTGCGGGGAGTGCCAGTCAGCTCAGCCCGGCCCTACCTCCCCCACTGCCCGGACAGCAGGGAAGAGCAGACCCCAGAGCAGATGCCGCAGATGGTGGCCCAGCTGCTGATGGGAGAACCTACTGCTGTGCCCAGAACACGGGACCTGATACCCGTGCCTGGGAGGGCCTGGGACGAGAGGTATAGGACACCCCCCACCCCCAGAAGCAAGCAAGACTGGCTTCCTGGAGGCCAGCGTCATGGCTGACTAAAGACTCGTGTGGGAAGAAGACCATGAACCCTAAGCCAGGTGCTCAGGGAGGGGGGCTGGGGGGCAGTGGTTGGGGGAGGTGGGGTGGGGTGGGGGTGGGCCCACACTGGGGGCTTCAGGAGCAGAAGCAGCCCCCATGGGAAGACCAGTGGGCCCAGGCATGCTGGGCCTGGTCTTGGGCCCATCCCTGCCCACAATAGCCCACATGGGCCCCACACTACTCCAACCCTGTGGGGGAAGACCCTGAAGCCCCAGCCGTGAGCATCCCATGGAGGGTGGAAGGACCAGGCCTGCCAGCCCTAGGGGAGCAAGACAACT